ACACACACACACACACACACACACTCACACACACTCACACACACTCACATACACTCACACAGACACAAACACACACACACAAACTCACGCACATACAGTCATACTCACTGATACGATACTGTAATAAGTTGTTATTCCGGCGTTTGAACTCCATACAGCTGTATCGCGGGGCACTGAGAAAAATGCAAGAAAAAAGATCTAATTTGACCGTAACAATCATCCACATCACAAAAAACCCTCAAGAAAACCCAACAACAACAATAAAACCCAACATAAACTAACGAACAAACTAACAAACTCACACACAAAAACCATCCACACCCTCCCAAGACAAAAAATTTAAAAAGAAGCCCCCCCCCCCCTTTCCCAGGATTTACTGACGTATGTTGTGCAACCGCAAGGCACTGTGCTGTTAAACACAGAAGACCAGAAATCCATTCTCTAGTGGGGATAATTTTGATCGACTGTCTCAGTTTCTCTGCTGGGGCGTTGCACAATGGATATCTCTCAGCTGAAGTTGGCCCTGATAAGCTAGGTCGAAGGATAAGCTAGGTCAAAGCCCGCCTCCCAAATTATCTACATTGTGTCGATGGGGGTATAAAGCACTTACAGGGCTATTCAATGGTAACTGACGGGACATTTGGACGATACTTTCTTGCAAAGAGAACACAGTAATTCAATATCAATTAATTTATTTCAACTTAAAACGATCCGAACATAAGAAAGACATTTAAAAATCATATTAAATGCAGTCATTTGAAAAAAAAACAAACTTTATGCAAAGTCTGTGACGAGTTTAGTTTCGGTAACGGATGGGACGAGTGAGGTGTTCCCCCCCCCCCCCATAAGTTTCCGTGAAATAGCCCTGCTTTAAAAAGAAGAAACGGGTTAGGGTAAAGGCAGCGCTAAAGAGAAACAGTGGGAGAGGGTCACACTGGGCGCGCTCCAACCAGGCTGCATCTAAAGTACTGGCGTGTACACAGCGGGCACAGATGCACATGTTCTTCTGATCTTTAATTGCTACTACCACAACCTCTACTGACATCACCACCGCCATCACAAATATGACAATCATCATCATCATCCTCATCATCATTACCACCACCATTGTTGTACCGTAGAAAAACAGAATAGGAGACCTGAATAAAATTTAGGTTTAATAAATAGGCCTATATCATCAAAAGCAATCATCACCATGAGCACTACTCTTGAGTCAACTAAAGCTTTTCTTACCATCCATTGTCAAACACAGTAGCTGTCTTGTACCTCAAGCCGCCTGTATCTGACTCCAGACATTGGAAAGAAGAAAAATGTGAGAAAGCTACTTGGGCTCGGTCTATCTTCACTTCCGCAGAGCCGCCTTTGTCCTGTAGAGTCCACTCTCCGTGCAGGGTGGGTTCAAACCAGCACCGCCTGGCGTTGATATCGGATACTTGAGCGGACGCTGAAACAAAAAGGAAAGTCTGTGTGTTAAGACATATTGTCTCCCTGATTGAGTTGTGGAAGAAAAAGAGAAATAAGCCGAAGCAGTTGTGACGTCCAACATTACTCATAATACGTTTTTAAGCCGAGAAGCTTGAATTGAACCTTTATCTCAAGTTTTCATATTTACAATCCACACACAAGATGTGCAGACTGATTAGTAGAATAGTATAGTAAACAGAGAAAAACAGATGAAGAAGTCTGGGTTGAGGCAAATTGAAAACGACAGCTTATGATAAATATACGAAAGCATTGTATTTTCTACATTGATTTCATTCAGCAGAATTTGTCGTGAGTGGAGAATTTGACGCACACCACATTGGTCGTCTTTTATGCCGTACAGCTAATTCCGGCCATGTTGCCGTAGTACCAAATCTCACACGCAGCTATTTCGTTTTCTTCTTTCTTTGTCAAAGTCCATGTCTCAGCATCATTTAGGAATATGTGGAAGATGTAACATTCAAGCAATTTATTTCTTAAATATAGAGATCCCCCCCCCCCCCAAACCCCCCCCAACCAGAGCAGTGCTAATGACTGAGGTTGTCTTTTGGCCATTACCAAAGGGGGGATATTAACATGTTCTTATGCTCAGTAGAATTGTAAATGGGCTGATTCATCAATGTCATGCTCATGCTTTGCCGGAACAACATAGGGGGAACTGATGCTTTTCTTTCCCCATCCTTACTATCGTCATTTTTTCCTCTACTTTTTTTGTATGTTTGTCACTCTCTTGTGAACTGCTATTTCCGGGGTGCCTTAATAGTCGAAACAGACTTTGTGCTGTTGAGGCTAGAGAGGTGAGCAGAATAAGCCTGATTCCCCGTTTGGACTTCTCTGCTGGCATCCACCCCTTGGCGCTCATATGACCTTACGCAGTTGCCAGCGCCGTAAAACCTTACTAATACTAAGACTAAACTAAAAGGTAGAAATAATTGCCTGGATGTAAATTACAGTTTTGAAAAGTGACGTACGACGGAGTCTCGCACTAGGCAGTCCATGTAATTTGAGGAGTTTTCTAAGCTGACCAGAAAGTAGGCTCCGACCTATCGGTAGGCGGACATTAAGCAGGAAACTAAACATACCTCCTGAATATGGTTACTGCAGAGGACAGAAAGTAGGAAACATGACTCCTGTAAAAGGTTACTGGACAGACTTGAATTACTATAAATTACTAACACCCTAGACCTTGATCTGTCATGGTCGCGCTCTTTGCTCTCTCTTTATAAACTTCGTTGCAAATCGTGCACACCATGGGTGCCATATGAAGGGCAAAACACCAGTATCGCTGTAGTCGAAAGTGCTTGACACCTTTCTCCCCATTGCACTTCATTTGCGCCAGTTTTAATCAAATCTCCACAGTGAACAGGAATTACGCCAGAACGCTCGGTCTTGAATGTTGTAATACACGTCTATGGGTTACTATTTATCTTTATAATAAATAACAAATGGCATATTTATAGCGCACATTCCCGCTCAACAGCAAGCTTTATGAACTTAATCTATCATTATTACCACCCCAGCAGGCCTGATAGAATTCTGAAGCAATCGCAACCTCCTGGGAAGCATACAGTCCAAGCTGCCATTATACAGGTGCTAAACACAAGGAAAATGTCAAGATGTGAGAAGATTTTATCTTAAGAGAGGTTTCAGAATATAGTTTGTTATATATATATATATATATATTATATATATATATATATACCAGATCACGCCAAATTTTAAATCACACTTACTGCATTTGCCGCACGTCTTCGGACAATGAGGGGCAAAAACTTTGTCTTTAGCGCAGATCTCGGGACTAGTGATAAGTTCCCGGCATTTTTCCGCATCTTCATCTCGACAGGTGCTGGGGCCTGTGAAAAGGAAAAAAAATCCCAACAACATTGCAGGGTTTTGTAAGTTGTTACACTCACATGTACAGCACAATACTGTTATTCTTGGGTTGTTTTTTTTTTATTAGTCTTTTTTATACTGAATTCATTGCAACTATTGACATCATCATCATCATCATCATCATCATCATCATCATCATCATCATCATCATCA